TGTCTTGATCCTTTATGTTACTTTGCTAACTCTCTACTCCATAAAACACAGCAGGGCAATGTGGCTAGGTCATTGTGAATTTCCTCTGATAGCTAAATAGGAAAGCCTATTGTTACATTGGGATAATACAGAAGATGGGATAATTCAGAAACTATACTAGTCCCCTTTCCTGACTGTACAGACATTGTCCATATCAGCTTAACTATTTTTGAATATAAACACAGCTGTGCTATAGCTCTATCAGAATAGCTCTTAAACTCATAGAAGCCGCGAAACATACATTTCAATTTACATACTCAACCCACAACTTTTATCACTGTCTTATAAATGTACCTTGTCTACTTTCAAGACTCCTAAGCACAATCATATTAAGCACAGGCATAAAAACTTAACTCTGAATTTGCTAGCATTTCTGAATTTAAAATCAGACCTAAGCAGTATATAAATCTAATTCTAATTTCTTTTATGTAAATTCAAACCACATGGAGAAAACAAAAATCTGTTATTCTGTTTGTTTTGGGGCTTTATAACTCATATCATATTAAGTTATTTAAACTGAGCAGAATTTAATGGGAGTTATTCTTGTTCTTCTTGTAAGTGTGTTCTTTACAGAAGATACTTCCAGAAGCGTGGTGAAGTCATTGTTTAATGTTTCCCCTGAGATTTCCAGCTATGTAATGTGATATTTTTTCATTTTCTTCCAATCTTTATTATCGATGTAGACGCATATCTACACCATAAAAGCAGAGCAGCTGGCTAGCGACTGTTGGGAATATACCCTTGTTAAAGAAGATTTTAGCCCCCTCCAATAGTTTATTGCATTCAGGTTGATTTGGTATGCTGAAAAACAATTCTATTTGAAAGTAAGTTACTTTCTACTGACATACTCATTGTTTTCTAAAGCTCCCTTTCTCTCTGGGGAGAGGAGGAAAGGCAGTATAAAATCTTTTGGGAAAACCATGTGGTTAAGTTAATGCAATTGCTTGCCCTGAGTTCTGCACTTCAAATTTTAAAGTGAAGGAAAATAGAGGTGTAGGAACAAAGCACTGAACACAACGTTGGCTATTTTCAGGGTACCCACAGGATGTATACCTTCTATAGGAAACCCTTCTATCTATAGATTAAAAATCTTCATGTTTCCACATTGCTTAAGACAAAGATCTTACTAGAATTTTAACATTTAGATTGCAACAGCATTACAAGGTTTTGCCTGTTAAAACGTTCATATCTCTTTCCCCAATGAATTCACCCTACATATGAAAAAATAAAACAAAGCAAAAATTAGTCTTGTTGAATTGGTCTTGATTTACACTTTTTTTTTTTTTTTTAAGAATGAATGCAAGAAAATGACTCAGTTTAGAGGACTAAAACAGGCAAGCAAATTATACCAATTTCCTGCTTGAAAAAAATGGCATGGTATGATCTACACTTTTCCAGTTTGGTATTACCCGTCAATTACTGCAAGAACTACAGTGTGCATTGGGAGATAGATTAGGTCAAAACAACCAGCTGCACCTCTCAAAAACTTGTATAAAAATTATCTATATATGAGAATGCTCTCTCTAAAGGAGTTTGGCTGAGAAAGTCCAGATGGTAGAAATGGTTAATAGGCTATGCCCTAGAAGATAAAAACTCTTACAAAATTGAACTAATAACTAAGGGTGTTCAACACTGGTGAGATTTTTCTCTAGTTAGTTCTATGCTATTTTCTTGGCTAAAAAGCTGCCTTCCATAAGCTGACTTGTTTTGGGTAATGGAATCTTCTATGCTTTTCTTTTTTGTCTCAGTGTCTCACCACTTATGTAAATAGTGTCACACCATTCTGTATCAATAATACAAAGCTCTTCAGCCCTTAGTAGACTTATCACATTTATAGGTCATTGCACCACACTATGGTCATTAGAAAACCCTGTTTACCTCATTTTCCCCACTGTTAAATGCAATTAGCCATATTAGTTTTTCTTTTCTTTTACTTTGGTAAAAGTCCTAAATACCCATCCCTCCTCTTTTCTTTTTATGAGCATCAGATTGTTGTTTCTGCTTGTTTTAGGTGGGAGAGCTGTTTTCCTACTAGTCATCCTCGTGCGTATTTAATGGTTTAGTTCCTCATTTATTATATGCAAGCCGGAAAGTGAAGAAGCAGGCATAGAGCAGAGGTACTAAAACGGTGGAATTGTTTACTAACCTAGATAACAAGGCTTCAGAGACTTTATTCTGCTTTGAACACCTTCACATACAGTTATTGCAGCCAAGGCAAACAGAAAAAAAGCCACCACTGTTATCCTCTGTGATGTGTTACAGGGACTTAATCATGTCAATAAGGAGATAACCAACTGAAAACATTCCACCCAGCACGTTGAGTTACTGGCTGTAAGAGATGCCATATTTAAATACGTAAGATAATATTTAAATAATTTTAAAAGAGTGCGGCCTGAATGATAAAAATAGGTTAACCTTCTGTTCTTATGTTTGTTTCTATGTTGAACAGTTGGAACTGCTACAAGTAAACATGTCTTAATAACAATGTTTTCACTAATATTAAAAAAGATCATAGAAACAAATACTTCTTTTTTGTAACTTCTTCGTTTTAAAACCTAACTGTTTGACAATGACTTTTTAAACAATCTTTATACATCAATAACATAACCACCTCAGATTGCCTCTCTTATAAGTATTAAGTATTTTCTTATAGCTCAAATTGAAGTCTTTGAAGTCTTGAACTAAAATTTCCATCAACTAGTGAATCAACACCCCTGTGCTCCTTTATTAGCAGTAATTAAAAAAAAAACAACAGTTAAGTATAGTTTCCATTTCCAGTCAATGGAAATTAGAACTTGAAAATCCTATCTAAAACTACTAGATAAATAAAAAGGCAGTTTCTTTCATGCTGCAGTGAATTAACTACTGATAAAGATGCAATGGGAGTTACAAATACAGTGTACTTCCTTGAGGTCAGTTCTCAAGGCACCTGAAAACAACCTGGGTTTACTTCTCATTGTTCTTGAAATGGACATAATGAAGGAAAACTCATAACTACTGGGTCCTGATACATGTAGGTAATTATTCATGAGGTCTGTACACAGAAAAGTGCAACATGATGAGACACTACTGACACACTACTGATCATGAGGATGAGACAGCTATTGAACTACAGCTAAGATCTTCCAGTTACCAGAAAAGGTGCCAGGACTAGAGAACAGCAACTTCTTGAGTACAAGAGCAACAAGCTTTCAGACACAGGGAAGAAAAAATAAATGACAGCAACTGAATGCCTTAAGCTTTAACAACCCGCTAGATGCTAGGAGAAGCATGCACCTGTGTAGGTGAGAATCTGGCAAACAAGATATACCTGTGAGACACAAAGAGAGGGCCTAGAGGAAAAACGGAGCAGTAGCGTGCATTCATTTGATGACTGGGACAGGAGAGGGTGCAAATGAGGAGCACATGTGATATGCAGCCGGCAGACACTGCCATGGGAATAGTAAATACTATTCACATAGGAGTGTGGTGTTGTGGAAGCAGTGGGAGACTTTCCCTTTTTTATGCTACAGGATAATAAAGGCACATGAAGGAGCTGCCTTGAATAAAATGCCTCAGCCAGAATCACACAATGCAAAAATGACCCTACACTCGATGGGACAGTTTACTGTGTTTGCCTGCATAACTCTATCATAACAGATAGCTTGCCAAAAAGGGAGGGGGGGGGAAGTGAGGACCAGAAGCTGACTGCAAAGCTTCAACTCAAACATTTGCTAGACTTACTGAATAAAATGAAAGGAAACTCAGAAACTTTGCTGTGCTGCCAACCCTCGCAGGCTAAGTTAAGCTTAATACAAAGAGCAGGAAGGGGGTTAAAACTGTACCTCTAGGCTCCCTGGCTTTGTCACATCCCTGCTATTTTCCATGTTCGCTGTAAAATGAATAGCTGCGGGGAATACACAAGCCGA